GCGTAAAAAAGTTTTTTTCCCAAAAATCGAGTTATAATACAAAGGACTCGTCAATTTGTCCGAACAATCATTCCGAGCACAGACCAACGCTGTAAACGTAATAATGAAGCTTGGTAAAGACGTAGTATGAATTGATTTATCAATTATAAAAAAAAAACTATAATAACGCACAAGACATAAACATCATTCATTTATAAGACAAAAATTATAATATTGTAATTATTTCTTAACTTGTTTAACATATGATTTACTTTTTTAATGATGAATACGATATTTCAATTCAAAATTTAGTAAAAGTATACGAATAAGAGTAGGGACTATGATTTCCTCATCTCCATGACAAGGATTTTCTGTGAAAAAAGAATAACCAAATTCAAGGAATAATAGTTTTAGGGCCGATTCCACCAAATTGGAAACTGTCTGATAACAATCTAACGTGTAAAATATGCGATGGATATATCGAATTTTGTTACTTATCTGACAGTGATGTCATTTTTTAGCTATCTGAGCTTCTATCAGCCAGTGTTGGGATAAGCCCTTAAAGTTATTTAAGTTCTAATTGCAATTCATCAGATATAAAAAGGTAAAACGAATCTTTTTAGGATGCATTATGTCGAAAACAAAAACAAAAAGTCATTATTCCTACTAATAAGGCTCCAGTGTTGGTTGGCTTAAGTTATTTCCATACGCGAAGCTCGAATGTTTAATATTTAAACATCATAGAAGGAGTTTTATTTTATTATCCTCAAGTTTTTATAGCTTCAAGGATTAGCACACTTAATATGTAATATTTACGAGACATGTTATAACCGTGATAGTGGTGAAAATGTTCCGACTTAACAAGTTCAATTTAAGTATGGATAAGTCAAAAATATATTACCGCATAAACAAACAGCACGGCGATGATCTTCCCTTACTGTATACAAAGATTTTAATAAACAACTTATGTTCGAACATAATTATATAATAGAAGAAACATGTATGTACAGAAACTTCCATTATCATCATATTACATAAAACCTTTTGTCTTCTATCTATACTTCTATACTATTATAATAAAGCGTAAACACACACTTCTTTGTTGCCTAAGATGTCAGCAATTACAACATATTTTTGAATAATTATTTTTTAATAAAAAACCCTAATGTAGGAAAGAGACCAGCAGTTGCTGCCAACATCAAGGAAGCAAGATTGTCATGTCATGTCATTTTGACATTTGCTATTGATAATTTGATAAATGTAAACAATGAAATAAAATTTTCATAATTTCATGCGAATAAACCCGCACGGGACCAGCTAGTATATATAACAAAATTGGACTGTCTGTATGTAATATTAAAAGCAAAATTCCAGATTTCGGGAAGATGTAATTGCGTTGCTGATAACGAAAATCGCATTTGAAAAAATTGTCTGTCTGTCTGTCCGCAAGCCGCGTTTGTTCCGGGTAAACTCCGAAATGTCTGAGCCGATTACGACAGGACTTTCACTGGAGGGTAGCTGACATAGACGAACATATTATAGACTACTTTTTTTAAACTCTGAAAATGGCGTAACGCGTGGTTCAAATTTGAGCTAACGAAGTTTGCGGGCGAAAGCTCGTCTTAAATAAAACACGTGAACACTTAGCATACATGCCAAATCATAGTTGTTATATTTACAACTAGTCTATTTAATCTTAAGAGGTAAGTGAATTTAATTCTTTAACTGTACATGTGTTTTGTTTAACATGTTTCTTTGCATAAAATAAGCCATATCAAGAAACATCTCAGTTCAATGTCATCCCAACACATTCCAACATTTTAAAAATAGTTGACAGTTTTTGTTTGCATTTTGTTCAAGTAGCGAAGAACAAATTAATATCGTCGTCACGTAATTGAATAACAACAGAAAAGGACATTTTCACATTTAAATTGCGACAGAAAACATCATTAATTCCATCAATGAAACTTTAAGTTCTTATAAGAAAGGACATTTGTAGAGAAACTATAAAAATTCAACGGAGATAGATTCATGTTGGTGTCTTCTTATGGAAGGTTTTTAAAATGAAATACATATCGAAATTGTACTCTATAGTCGTTGTACGAGAGTTCAAATTCATTTAACTACTGTTAGTCATTATTAAGCACTATCTGGAAGAGGAATCGTAAATTATTCGTAATAGTGATGTGCAGTCTTGAATAAGTCAGTTATTTTACACGAATGCGCCAAACGAAATATGGAAACATTTTCGATATCATTATATTTCGAGTATCGAAAACCTTTATCTTGTTGCTTACTTATTTTGCGGCTGACCTGCCTGTTACGATTTTCGATATCATGATATGAGATCTTAATGTAAAGTGTAAAAGACTGAAAGCAGTGTTAGGGTAGGACGAGTTGCGACAGTTTGCCGGTCCTGGGTGCCTATTTTCGTATTGGATTGAGAGGGAGTTATTGACGAAATTCGTATCGCAGTTAAAGGGCGTAGAAATATAACCCAGGTCACAGGTAATGCTAAAACCAACATTCTAGACCGTATTATTTACTATATAATGTGAAACAACTTTTATAAGAGTCATAACTATTAACTGCTGTTGTAAATTGTCCTTAAAATCTACATGAATGAATGTATGAATGAAAAAAGTAAGCCTGCTAGAATACAATGCAGTTAAACATAAAGCGACTTAAAGAATGCTCAGTAGTAACAGAATTGAATGATGAACGAGGGTGTATTATGGGACAGTCATTCGTTCACAGGTCCCATCACTGGGCGTAAAGCAAAAGCAATTTGCATCGGGATCGGCAGGAGGTTTCAATCGACAATAGCCGTGAAATGGCTCACTGCGGAGCCGGGAGCGGTGTCGGTTAAAGAAAAACGCAATAAAACCAAATTGCCCACGTACAAATTAGAACGCTAATTTTATTGCATTAAAGTAATAAATCGATAGGCGTTTGCGGATTGTTTTATTGCTTTATAATAGGCAGCGGTAACAGTAGCTGTAAAGGTTACATACCAAACCTGGATGGTTTTAATTCTGGAATGGCATACGGTTTTATGATGGGATGACTTCGCAGTGTTTTCATTAAGATTTTTCACCTAACGCTTTTGATGTTATTTCTAGATAATTTTAAACAAACAACCATACAAATAAATAAGTTATATAATAAATTAAATAATAATCAAGTTAAACTTAGGAACAAACTGAGTATAAGCAAAATTTGTACCAAAGTATATACTCATTTTTTTCTTAAGTTCAACTTTATACCGCGTCTATTTGTTTACAAATTTACAACAGCCTTAGCTGATATTGTTTTTAATAATTCTTGTATTGTTTGAATTTTGTATTAATATTAAACGAAGTTAGGGAAGTCATTGACTCCTTTAATACAGGGAATCAATCTAGTAATTAAACAAAATACAGAGTTATAAAAATTAAAAATTAAAACAATTCATGTGAAACTAGCTTTCTTGAAATTAAAAAAAAAAGAAAATAATTAGCCTTTGTGTTCTTACAGACTATTCTCTGCATCTATAACAAATTTCATCGAAATACGTTCAGCCGTTTACGCTACAAACTCTGACAAACATTCATTCATCTAAACTTTCGCATTTATAATATTAGTATGATTAGTATAATATGATATATTTGTAAAATTATATGTGCATTGTAATATTGTGTTTTGTACAAATAAATAAAAAAACTTATATCTTAAACGCACTACAGTTATTTGGTATCGACGCTGACTAGGCGACTATATGTAAAAGACTGAACCGTTTTTAATTACTTTATAATGTTAAACGAATTGCAAAAGGAACCTCTACAAAAACGTATTAAAACGGACACAAGGAAATATTGTATCTTAAAAGTCAGGTAATTTCTAATGCTTAGATTAAAACAATAACAAACTACGTACTGCAGATCACTATCTTATAATTTACAGCTATCGCCCCAAACATTCGAAAGTAGATCCAACACAAATAACAAATGTAACTGGCAGTCATAAAACAAAACAGTGAAGTTCATTAAAAGATATTTTTTCCTTTCAACAATACATTAAGTTATTTCGCATTAACGTCCTCAATACACCTGTTCCATTTAGTCCTAATATTTATTTGATTGCTAAATCCACGGGGTGAACTTCCCTTTAGGAAATCGCCAATTATAATAAAAAAAAGCCTTCATAAAGATCTGATAAAGGCAGGAGGGCCGTGAATTTATGTGTTAATATGAAATAATAATGAAGACCGCTTTATTTATGAATGCTTTTGACATGTTAATAGTTAATTACGCATGATAGTACAATAGTTAACTATTTGATGTTAACTGTGTTGGTTGCTGTCAATTAATTCATTCGTGTAATAGAAACAAAGAATTTCTTTGTAACACAAATGACTCGCGACGTATCTTGTAATTAATTTGGTCGTAAACCTTGTAGGTTTAAAAAAACATCACGATATCGAATTTAATTTATGAAGAAATAATTTCATTTCCTCCAAAAAAGCTGTAACTTCTATTGTATAATGTGAAAATTTATATAAATCAATTTTTTTTTCAACTTATTGAATCACATCTAAAGCCAGTCGCGCATTGACAAATTTTATCAATGTGGCAATAATTTACTTGTCATCTAACATTTCTGTTTATCCGCGAAAAAGAAACAACAAATAAGCATAAGAAGAATATTGGTTAGAACATTTTCGAAGCGTTATTGACGAAATTTGCATTAGATTCATGCAGTTCTCCCGGACCTAAATTACACAAATCAATAGCATACTTTGTCGATGGTTATACGAATAAGTTCTAACAATTGTTACGCTTTAGTCAGTAGACTCTTTTTGTGTAGTGATGATGGTAGCATGGTCGCTATGATCACGGTTACATTATTGACCAGTGAGCGGCTACCTTTAACAAATTCCAAATCATGCGTTCGAAACAATTGAATTCAAATAATTATTATTTTTACAGATAACGTTTTATTAAAAACGATCGCCATTTTAAAAATAAACAATTGAATTCCAGGTCAAGCTGGTGTGAATCAACTGGGAGGCGTTTTTGTCAACGGTCGTCCCCTCCCAGACGTGGTGAGGAAGAAGATTGTAGAACTAGCAATCTTGGGCGTCAGGCCGTGTGACATCAGCCGACAGCTCCTCGTCTCCCACGGCTGTGTCTCTAAGATCCTGACCAGGTTCTACGAGACTGGTTCAATCAGACCTGGCTCAATTGGAGGAAGCAAGACTAAGGTTAGAAACGCTTATATCAGCTGTGTTGACAGTAGGCTCGCATGTTCTAATGTTACGGTTAAATTTTGACATTTATGTCTTGAATTCTCATGGTAAAAATTAAATTATTAAAAAATTAATAAAAAAAGTAAACCAACATTGCAACCGTACAGCAGATCCGTCGGGCGCTGACTTCAATAAAACTTAGTGGAAGCGAATCGTGTGGGTCACGCGGCAATCACTCGTAATTATAAACTATAAAATGACCTGAGCTTTCGGCTTCTTGTGGTGGCCATTCGATACGCATATAAATACTACCATTAACAATTAATATTAGGGATCCGTAGATATTTTTTAAGAAATATCACATGTATTAGTAAGTATGACTTTGGAAATTTCAAAATATTAAAAGGTTTTGCCATATTTTTATGAAGGCTTACAAATGTTTCTACGTCAGTGTCTCTATCATATTAGTCAAGTTTCAATACGACGAGTTAGAAATAGGAAGAGTGCACCCCCCCCCCCCTAAAAATCGCAAAATGTAAAATAGAAATAAATACTACTTTGAACAAGACCACATTATTGTAGCTGTCCTTTAGACCAAGACTAAATCTTCGTCTGGAGACGTCCACGATCAAAACATTACATTGCGTTTCTTAAAGGATCTCTAAAAATGTTAACACATATCGATTTGAAATAGTAAAGTTACACCTACAAACGTAGAGGCGCAGTGAACCCGTAGCCGTACCGACCTCACCGAATTCGGTACGCCAATAAAACTTCCATTTTGTTGTTCGACAAACGAACGCCGACGTCAAGAAATTGATTACAACAAAATACATCGAAATCACCGAAAACTTTTATTGGCGCTGTTATGGGAACACTTAATTGACTACTAATCAACGCAACTCGGAATCATCCAGATTGGCCGGCGATTGTGTCGAATGTAAATCGAGATTGCCTTCTTGAATAATTACCGTTTGTTTGATGACCTCATACAGTACACGGAACTAAATAAAAATTTTGCGCTCGAAAATTTTCCGATATTTTACATTCGATAAAACGATACAAAAACCGTAAACGTAATCGAAAACAAAACAATAGCGTATACGTTGCGAATCTTAAATTTGATTTTAGAATTAAAGAATATTTCGAAGTTCAATCAAGACTTTAAATAATTTTGACAATAGCAATTTTGGTTTTGACAAGCGTGTAATTAAGACAAAATCTAAATTGACTCTCTTATTTTCTCATTTGTTCCATATAAATGATTAATTTGATTTAAATATGTAACATTGCAATTAGCGAAATGTATTTCTTTTAGTAACGAATGTTGTGAATCTTAGGTACGTTTCATTATCTTAATATTTTCGTTGTTAAAAGACCTAGTAATTTAAATACGAATAGACTAATTTTATATTCGACTGTAGTACACGATTTTTAACAAATTTCTATATAAACTTTACGTGTTTCGACCTTACGTAATTGAATTATACGTGAAAATTTTACCGGACTGTTTCGAATAACCATTGTGGGAAAACACGCGAACTCCACATATCTTACGTATCCTACAAATATTTACCGTTATTAACACCTGTTACGAAAAGCGAAAAGAACACGCGATTATAGTTTTTAACGTAACGATAAACGATGAACAGCGATTTTTTGTGTATAATCTGTGGTTCACGTCACAGAAGCTTATAACTGTGTCAGTCGATTTGGCTTCCATTTTTTTTATAATTGATCTTGAGAATAACTATCTGGTATTAAAATTAACTGCCAGTATACACGAGATGTCTACGATTCGGTAGATTAGTAATGAATGAAAACAACATTCGATAATTATGGATACTCGTTATTTTGTATGAGAATTCAACTTTTTGTTTCGAATCGAATTTACGTAGCGTTACGATTTCGATTCGAATAATAAATTTGGTGCGAGTATTTTTTTTTTCTTAATAATCTGGCGTGAAATGAATATAAAACCTTCGATATATCCTCTAACTAACACTTCATTCGGTTTTATCCTAAAAAAAGTTCACAAAAGTAAGGCTGTGTTGCCATAGATTTCCAATCTTTACTGTTATTGTAGCACCTGTAGGAATAACATTGTCTTTTCTGTACTGTTTAAGTTTAAAGAAAATGTGATCTTTGATCTCAAAATTTTGTACAAATATTTCAGGAGAGGACACCAACGTTTAGAATGAACTAATATTGAAAACGGTGACTATTTTTTCCTAGTTCCGAATATGGTCTATGGAAAGAAATATTTGCACGTAATTTTTCAGAATTATATTTAATTAATAATTCTTATTAGAATTCTATACATACAAGTTATTTGTAAAGGTTCAAGCGAATCGTGCAAACTATATTTTGCACGGTTGGTCCAAACACGTGGCTTTGCTCCATCTTTACGACTTCGAGTTATGAGGTTTATGATCTATGGCCGCATGTTTATGGTCAAATGAGCATAATTAGTGGAGCCGACGCCGCTTCAATGCACTTTATGGTCTAGGGCGATGGTTCATTAGCCACTTTTACGCCGTCTTCCATAGACGAAGGCATAGATAGCAATTAGTTTGATTTCAAATGTTTATTGCTTTGATACTATTATTTTAATTTGTTAATCTTAATTTATTCATAAATAATAACAAAGATAATTTAATTTGGAATGAAGTAAATGGATTATCCATAATTTTACATAATCCTTTTGCTGTTTTAGGTCTAACAAGGTGAAATCGTGATATCAACGTTTTTTTGTTTTAACATAAAAACAGTTTTAGAATAACTGAACAGCAAGATAGTACGTAATTTTAGAATACCGTTTAACTGTTTCCATCTTATGTTCTCTAGACATTAAATATGAGACGTTACGAGCAATTAGTGACTTCGCGGATCTTCGCGAAATTCATTAACCGGTGACATTCGACCAGGGGTTAGGGATTAGTTACATAGATTTTACGACAAAACCTCGTATAGCGGAAATCCTACTCACAGAATATAATACTGAAATTCATTAAAAACATATACAAAATATTAACAAAATATTCCAAAGCAATTGCAAAAAGTTTGTGGTATTTTAATGGCACTATTAACGAAATTATAGGTATATACAAAAAAATACAACGAGATAATTTATGCATACGAATTTGCGTCATGTAATTAGTAGAAATTATTTATGAAAAAATCTTTAGATAATATCGTGTAAATCGTTGTGTAAAACAAATAAAACTAACCCCCAATCGTTTCCCGCCTAATTAAATGTCATCAATACATGTTTATTATCGCGCCCATTTCCGGACATTTGTAGGGATGTGACACAACTAGCAGGTTACGAATCGATATCGAGTTACCGATTATCTGTGATTTAATCTCAGTATCACAACAGATAGCATAATATATTTAAAAAGTTTTAATTGAGTAAATTAAATTATCCATATTAGCTTAAAGCTTTTAAATGTGTTTTCCATGCTTACAATAATGTTAGTGTCTGCTAAACTTTTTAATACTAAAATGCCGCTTTAATATCAATTGAACTAATGGATTTTTCTTTCCTTTCTCATCTTTTTTGGTATACAAGTCAATATTCCTGCTTTAAACTGCGTTTGTGACAGTGAGTTAGATATTGTATATACAAATTCCATTTTTAATACAGGCAAAGTTTTCCTACAAATTGCCACCTAATTAAATTTTATAAGCGTTGATGGTACTGATAGTACTGTGAATTTAAACAACGAAACTATTTTTTTAATATTATTGAAAAATGTGATAAGATCGGTACAAATACAATAACATGCCAAAAGGACATTAACAGTTCTGTCAGACAATATAACGTCGATATTAAATATTCATCACTGGCAACACGTTACCGTGTTTGTTCGCGCAAGCAACACCGAAGCGCGGCCATTTATTTCCCTTGACTATCGAAAAATGGATTAGACAAAATGTCGCCGCGCCGCCCGCGCCCGTTACACTAAATAAATTCTCTGAAAATTTGAATGCCTCGAGGAGAGAGACTTAAAGAAGATGAGAAGCATACATACAATGCTGATACTCATAAATTGAATAATCTTTGTGATCACACACTGAGTCAAAAAAATAAACAAACATAAACACAGGCTAGTAGGTTTAGAACTTATTGTTCATTTTTAATTTACAAACCGTGCGAGGTTATCAGGTCCTGGTTTTTAATAGTCATAGGTAGTTTCAAAATCAACTCGGTGCTGCACGTATTAAAAATAATAATAGACGTTTATTCTACACTTGCAGTCGTTTGCTAGGAATTGTTTAAATGACCAATCATGTGTTGAACTGTTTCTTTTTTTATTCAATGTGTTAATAGCTATTCATTGTTTGTACTTCGAAATTTATTGATTAAAAATAACGTGTAACTGACACTTATTTTTACACTGTTTACAATAATATGGTTGTCTCCTAAAGGTATAACTAACCTACGAAAACTTTATTCTCGGCCTTAATTTTAAAAGAGAGAGTAAAAGAGATAGCAGCATATTTTATATGAATCTTTTGTCTGTAGATATCCACGATAATATAACAAAGTTTTTAAAAGGTAAACAAAAGACGATTCACAAAAAAACAAAGGCTTAATTTCGTGCAATTAGTTGGTTTTCGATGTCACAATCGCGGGTCGAATCGGGTGGCAATTTGTAACAGTAATGAGTCGATTGGTCAATCGTCCGGGTCATGGGAGCCGCGGCACCTGTCACCTGTCAACCGTCCGCACCGATTCCGAACTTTAATAACACTGTCCATAGACAAAAGTGGGGACAGCCCAGGTGTAGGGAACGCAAAAAAATATTTAACAACTCTGTTTTCCTTTTATCTTTGGTCGAGATAATTTACAACATCAATAAAAGTTGTAAGCGGCTACAATAATACTTTTTTAAGATAGGCGTAGGTCAATTCATGGCTTTAAATAACGAAGTCACTTTAGTTTTAAACTGCTTTAAGTTCTCTATATTCAACGAGATATCTTTAAGAACTTCTGACAGCATTTCTTA